GTCGTCCCCTGTAATCTCCTTGATCTTCGTCCAGATCATCTGCCAGTATGGTTTGATACGGGGGCATGACCACCAAATATGTAGGCTAGTGCCTCTCTCTAAGCCACATCTCCAACAGTCGCCCGTGTCCGTCCCGTGTATATGTCTCAGTGAGTCTGGTGTCGTGTACCACCATGTTAACAATTTGTAACTGGTTTCCTGGAGTTTCGAGCTGATTGAGCATTTATGGGTGAGGAGGAATATTTTATCCCATTCTTGGTCTGTCAGCTGTGCACCCGTCTCCCTTTCCCATCTGCTCATGTAGCCTAGTGGGCCGCTATCCCCTGTCTGCTGGAGCAGAGCATATAAATAGGATACCCCATGGATTAGATGTCGTCTATCTGTGCACAATCGTTCAAATTCCGTAAGTGTACGTTGGAGGTGAGTTCTCCCCGGGAGTTTGGCATAGTAGGACCTAACTTGGTGATAATGGAATTTGTCAAGCGCAGTAGGTTGCCTGTCCATTATTAAGTCACCCAGCGGTTGAAGCGTTCCCCCCGGACTCCACTGGCGTACATAGAACCAATCTGTCCTTTGAAAGTTGTGTAGGGCAGCCGGGTGGTGGCCTCCAGCCACCCCCGGGTTGTGTGTAATGGGCGTAAGCGGGCTTGGGGAGGTGGTGAGTTGGTGGACATACCTTAGTCCGCACCAAATCCTGAGAGTGGCATCTATCATCAGGTTTTTAGTGTGTAGGTCGGTGAAAGTGGACCCCCCCAGCCAGAGCTGCGACGGGACAGTGCCCTGTGTCTGTTGCAATTCCATGGAAACCCATCGTTTGGCGCTGGGCCTCGCGTGCCAGTCTACTATTCTGTGGAGGTGCGTGGCCCTATAGTATGAGATCACTGATGGTAGCCCCATCCCTCCCGCTGTTTTCGGTCTCTCCAGGATCGACCTGCGGATACGCGTCTGCCTATGATTCCACACAAACCCACGGATCGCTGTTGTTACCGAGTTGAAGAACGTCTGGGGGATCCTGGTGGGTAGTGTCGCGAAGAGGTATAGCAGCCTGGGGAGAATGTTCATTTTGACCGCACTAATGCGGCCGAACCAGTATACGTACCGTTGCGTCCACCGCTGGAGGTCTTGTTGTATGGCGGAGAGGATAGTGAGAAAGTTCAGCCTGTATACCTGCGTCAGATCCGCTGGTAGCCAGGTTCCCAGGTACCGTAGTTTGGTTGCGCACCAGGAGAAGGCGAACTGAGCTCTGAGCTGGCGGGCCTGTTCCTCTCCCTGCATTATCGGCATAGCTTCGGACTTTTCCACGTTGAGTTTCAAGTTGGATACCTGGTGATAGGTGCGAAACGCCTGTAGGAGGTTGGGCATGGAAATCCTGGGCTGTTCCAGGAAGAAGAGCATGTCGTCCACATAGGCCGCCACTCTGTGCTCTTCGGAACCCACCCTCACCCCCGTTATACCCCCGTCCTGTCTGACCGCCTCCAGAAACGGTTCAAGAGAGAGGGCAAACAGGAGAGGGGACAGGGGACAGCCCTGCCGGGTCCCATTGCAAATCAGGAAGGACTGCGTTAGGGCTCCGTTAATGCGGATCCGAGCCGTTGGGGAGGAATATAGCGCCGACACCCACGATCGTATAATTGGACCGAACCCCATATGTCGTAAGGTCTCGTCCAAAAAGACCCAGTCCACCCTGTCAAACGCCTTTTCGGCGTCCGTAGAGAGGAGGACTGTGTCTCTTCCCGAGGTCTGTGAACAATGTATGATGTTCAGGGCTCGTATCGTGTCATCCCTAGCCTCTCTACCCGGAATAAAGCCCACCTGGTCTGGGTGAATGAGATCCGGCAGGATCCGTGACACCCTCAGGGAGAGGGCTTTGGTAAATAGCTTCAGGTCAGCGTTTAGTAATGAGATTGGTCTATAGCTCGAGCAATTTGACGGATCTTTTCCGTCTTTAGGGATGACCGTGACTATCGCGGCCAGGGAGTCCGTGGGGAACCGCCCCCCGTCCTGTATGGAGTTCAGGCCCGCTAGAAGTCGGGGTAGTAGAGCGTCTCGAAATGTTCGTAGATATGTGAGGGGGAGGCCATCCGGGCCCGGGGCCCTGTGTTGTTTGGAGCGTTTCATGGCTGCGGCTAATTCCTCTAAAGTCAGGGGTGCATCAATTTCCTCCGCGAGCTCCGGGGTGAGTTTGCGAGTCACATGTTGCGTTAGATAGTCTGTGACTCTCCTGTGGTGGTTTTGGGCTTCTGTCCCCCGTATGGGCCTAGCTTGGTTGTAAAGGTCCCTGTAATAGGTCCTAAATGCTGACATAATGCCTTCAGGCAGTCTGGTGGTCTGTCCCTGTCCGGTGCGTATCTGGTGAATATGTTGGGCTCTACGCTTCTCTCGGAGCACTTGTGCCAGGAGTCGGCCGCTTTTATTTGAGTGCTCATAGAAGTGCCGAGCTGATTTCCGCATCGTGTGTAGTAATCCCTGGGATACGTGTGCTTTGAGTGCCCTGCGTGTCTCTGTAAGTCGTAGGTCTGCAATCCGTGCCGTTAGATCTAATATTTGACGAGCCCTGTCTTTCTTACGTTGTGTGCTGATAGATATAAAGTGACCCCTAATAACGCATTTATGGGCTTCCCACAGCATCAGTGGGGGCATGTCGGGTGTGTCGTTGGTATCAAAGTATTGCGTAAGCGTCTGTAATGTCTTGAGCTCTGTTAACAAGGTTTCATTAAGTTTCCATTGGCGTTCGACCGTTTTAAATAGTGGCGAGCTCATTACCACCGTGTTTGGGGCATGGTCGGACTGGTTGATAATCCCTATGGATGCATCTCGGAGAAGCGCTAGGCTCTCCTGAGGCATGAATACATAGTCTATCCTACTATATTGCCTGTATACCGACGAATAGTAGGTGAAATCTTTATCGTCAGGGTGGGCTACCCGCCAGCAGTCAACCAACCCCATGCCAGTCAGAGCACGCCGCATTGTGCATAGGCTGTGTTCCGGGACAGTGCTGGCCCCCCTGGAGGTGTCCACCCGGGGGTCCAGGGGAACGTTAAGGTCACCTGCTAATATCAGCAAGCCCGCCCTGAATTTTTCTAGTTTGGCCAGTGTTTTGGTCAGGAAGATGTGCTGTCTACGGTTAGGGCTGTAGATGCTTGCGAAGGTGTAGGTGTGGTGTGCAATGGTGCCCTTCAAGAAGATGAACCTCCCTTCAGGGTCCGTCATAGTGTCTATATGTTGGAACGGGACTGTTTGGGAGAACAGAATCGCCACTCCCGTTTTCTTAGACTCTGGGTGATTGGCGTAGTACCCCTGTGGAAAGCGGCTATTCTCAATCTTCGGACAGACCTGACCTCTAAAGTGCGTCTCCTGCAAGAGCGCCACGGACACCTTTTCCGCCCAAAGCTGGCGCAATAGTTGGGACCGCTTCTCCGGGGTGTTTAGGCCTCTCACGTTATTAGACCACACTTTGAGCCGTGCGGAAGCGAGACTCCCCCCGTCCCCTCGGAGTGGGCATCCCCCACCAGGCCCTGTCTGGGAAGGCATTATGTAGATTTCTATACGTGGGTGAGGAAGGAAAAAGGGGGTAGGGCGGAGAAGAGGGAGAGAGGGAGAAAGAAGAGGAGGAGGAGGAGAAGAAAAAAAAAAAAAAAGGGGGGAAAAGCAACAATGAACCTCGGTCGGATAGAGGTGTTCGGAAGCTGCTCGTCAGCAGTCCTACCGAACTCCGACCAGTATGTACACCACGGATCATTTGCGTGGGGTGTGAACAAGGTCACCTACGGCGCCCGTCAACGTAATGTGTGTGTGTGTCGAGTCCGTGTCCGTCTCCTGGTGCTCCCAACCCGCCAGTCATAGCGTTAAGTCGTCTCCGTCTCGTGGCGAGTCCAGGTGTGGTGGGCCTGGCTACCCCGGTCGCGCCCGCGACACCCTTCCCCCTGGGCCAGTCCCTCTTAATATGTGTGCGTTCCCTTTCTGGTCTTGCTTGACCGGTGTCAGCATTCTACCCCGTGGGCTTTATGGAGAGTGCAGGGACCGAGCCTCCCCACCGACCCCCCCGGTCATCTAGCTTCTCCGTCCAGTCCCGTCCTGCCCCGTCGGGATATCCTTCTCCACTACTCCTGTGGACGTGTGAGTCGACTAGCCCTCCCTTATCCTAAGTATTACAACATGCAACTAATGAAGAACAGTTTAACAAGTTATTATGCCCCTATCAGGCGTAAACAAGAAATCCCTCTCGCGCCCCAGGGTGCACGGTCGTCCAACCCCTCTTCAGCTCTCATCCCAGCTGGGGTCCGAGCGCAGGCCCATGGCTTTCAGGCCAGGAGGGGCGTGACGGGCGTGCATCCAACCCCCCACCACTCCTCTGGCTTCCCTGGGGTTCCCCAGCCCGTATGTTTAACCCCTTAGGAGTCCTATCTAACCTCCCCCAGACCGCGACCCCCTGGGATCAGGCCCCCCCCGCGTTCCAGCCCCGATACCCGCAGGCCTGTCAAGCACCTCCTGCGTCTAGGGCCCCCCACTGTGCAGCCAGCCCTTCCTCTTATCCCTCCGTGGGCTTTCCTACCCCCTGTTCCCGGCTCCTTCCTCCCCTCGCTGTGTACCGAGCCCTCCTTTCAGGACAAGAGGGACACCGCTGTACCCCCCTCGGCCCCGACCCTCCCCTGTAGCAGGTCCGTCGAACCGGGCTCCCCCTCAAACCTGCTCTGCTCCTTCAGTGGCCATGCAAGGTAGCGTTGGCAGAATCCCTTGCATAACCCCATTTTTACGGCCTCCGCACTTCCCGTTCCCCGCCCAAGTAGTGTTTCCCCCGGGGGCACAGGTTTCACAGGGTACACCGGGGGTCCATGGGCCTGGGGATAAGCTCAGTACAAACCCCGGTTGCTCAGTTTCACAGTCTCGGTAGTCTCGTGCTTGCTTACGGGCAGGCCTGTTGAAGATCGCGGGGGCCCCCGGGGCACCCGGCCCGGTCCAGAACCCCTTCAGGGACCCACCTCCGGGCGCATGCTGACCTCCTACTCCTCCGCGGCGCTGGGCCCATCCCGGCGTGTCGAGGAGCTCTGCTGGGCACCATCTACTAGGTTCTCGGCCAGGACTGTAGGGCCCGTGGGTCTGGTCAGTGGATTATCCAGGATCCAGTTAGGGACAGGAATCTCCGGAAGGCCCGCTGCTCGCAGGAATCTGAGCACATCGTTAGGCCAGCGGACCGCAAGCCAGCGGTTATCCACTCTAGCCTGCAGGCTAAATGGGAATCCCCATTTATATGGGATCCGCTTCTGCTGTAGGAGGCCTGTGAGTGGCTTCAGCGCTCTTCTGGCATCGAGGGTGAGGGGAGACAGGTCGTGACACAGGGAAACATGAGAGTCCATGTAGTTGATGGTGCACAGCGTTCTAGCCGCCCTCATAATAGTTTCCTTCAGCTGAAAGGATTGGAAGCAGCATACCAAGTCCCTAGGGAGGCCATCTCTCCTTGGTGGTCGAAGTGCACGGTGGGCACGCTCTAATCCAAAATCCGGCGGTGCTTCTTCCCCCAGTATTTGCGTGAACAGGCCCTCTAGGATCTCTCTTGGTGATTCTCCTTCAGATTCCGGCAGACCTCTGACGGAGATTGTTATTGCGCCGTCCGCGGTTCTCAAGGTCCTCCACCTGGCGTCTGAGCTCCAGAAGGAGGTTAACCTGCCGCGAGGTTGCTAGGTCTGTAGCCCGTTGGTGTTGTTCTGCCTGCAGCCGTTGGACCTCCAGTTCATCTACCCGGTGTTCCAGAGCGGTGAGGTTTTGCCGAACAGCAGCTACTTCCTCCCGGATAGCTGAGCGGAGTTCAGCCACTAGTTCTTTCTTGTCCTGCCTGGTAAGCATGTTTGCTGAAATAGCCGCCAGTTCTACAGACATCTGAGTGAGGGCATCCCTCCGTGGGGAGTCTTGTGTGGAGCTCGCCCTGCTGCTCGATCCCGGCGAGCCGGGTGCCATTTTGTCGAGGCCTCGTGTGCCGGCCATACAGTGTGGGGTGGATAAGAATTCGTCCATCGGCCCCGACTGCTGAGGCATGGCGGGTTGTTGCGGGCCCGGGGTAGTCCCCCTCCTCGATTTACCCATTCAGATGGGTATGTTAGTGCTATTATCACGGGCTTTGGCAGGTTGGGGCCCAGGAGCTCTCACTACCTGCGTCCTACTCCATCGGCAGCCTAGCCACGCCCCCTGCAGCAGCAGTTTTGTCAGGGCTTTGCAGTGGGGTGTGAGCGATCTTTGTCGTGTGGAATGGGTCAGTGTGGATGAGTCTAGTCTAGGGTCAAGGACGTGGTTGATGTCTCCACAGATTATGGTCATCCCTTTTTGTATCATGGTCACTTTAGTCAATATTTTTTGCAAGAAATTACGTTGGTGCTCATTCGGAGCGTACAACCAGAGTATACATCACATTATTCAACATACATGTCAAAATGAGGTATCTGCCCTGGGCATCGGTTATTTCCTGAAGTAGCTCAAAGGCTATTGATTTATGAATGTATATGGACACTCCTCTCGACTTAGTGGCATAGGTAGAGTGATATTGATTGGGAAAGTGTTTTGCTCCAAAAGTGGGTATACAGGCGGATGGGGAATCCCCAGGGGTAAGGTATGCAATGTTCCCTGAGGACCTCAGTAACCTTCTGGAACGTCTTTCTGTAGCGCAATGTGGCTGCCGATATGTCTGCGAAAACTCGGATTTTGGCGAATTCTGGCGGTAGATCTTTTGCAGTGCGACTGCTACGGAGGATCATTTCCTTCACATGGAAGTAATGAGCTTCGAGTAGTGTGTCCCTTGGTAAGGCGGCAGCAATGTGTTTGGGCTTTGGTACTCTGTGTAGGCGGTCTAGCAGCAACATATCGACCGGGATGTCCAGCAAGAGGGCCCTGAAGAAGCCATTGACAAAGGCAGGTAGGTCTGCTTCCAGCACCTCCTCCGGAACACCGCGGAGTCTCAGATTGCTGCAGCGTGATCTATCCTCTAAGTCCATAAGCTTCATCTCATGTTTAGCAAGTTGGGATTCAAGCGTTTGGAGCCTGTCAACGGCTTGCTTGTGAGCTTCCACAATGTTGTCCACCTTCATCTCCATGTGCCCTGTTCGTGTCCCCAGATCGTGTAAGTCCTGTTTGATCTCGGCCACACTTTCCTGCCAGGTGGCGATCAGCTTATTGGATTGTTTATCCAGGGCTGCGTGCAGTAGTGAGGCTGTGAGCCCCTGTTACAAACTGCCATTTGTAACTGTTATTTTATTTGACAAATTGCCCTGCTTCCCTGTGTTATGGAGAAGCCTAATTGCCAGCCTTCTGCCCCATGACTATGGACCTAGTGTGTATGGCGATTTGACTGTATTTGTGGGATCTGAGCGCTGTTTGGATATATTGAGCGCTCAGATCCAAGCCATCTGGGGATAGGTTGAATGTGGGGGTTCTGTTCAGTTCAGTTCAATAGGAGTTATGTATTTTTGTGTCTTTTTGTGTCTTTTGCTAACATGTGGTTAATGGAGTCTGCCTCTATCCCTGGATAATTGGATTACTTTCCCCATTGTCCAGGATAGAGGCCTCTGTAAAACCGGTTTGGGCCAGAAAACCATGCTGCCAGCCAGGCCCCAAAAGACACTTTTGCTAACTTTTGAATCCCTTGTCTGATTTGTGCCATTTTTTAATATGTTGCTCACCTTAATGGATTGATTCCAAATATGTAATTTTTATGAAGATTGGATGTGTAGTTAGGAAGTTATAGTACATGTATAAAAACTGTATTTTTACTGTTCTGTTTTAATTATGTTATGTGATTATCTGAGGGATGGGAATTTCCCCGAATGTATATTGTTCCGATTGGTTATACTGCTAATTATGTGGGTGTCTCCCTTGCATGGGCAGAATCTCATAAAAGCAGAGTGTGTGCCATTAAACATCAGATCTTCTTGACCCTCAATACGTAGCCTTGTCTCGTTATTGGAGGGAACTGCTATATCACACTGGGGATTGCTATGCTCTGCATACTCCCCTGAGCTTTTAATCACTTAGCTCTTTTAAGATCTGTTCCTGTTACGCTCTCCTGGAGGAGAGGTCTTCCCCACACGGTCCTGGAGGACAGAAGCTGATCCAGGGTGGAAGGAAGACGGCGAGACTCCAGTTAAGCTACGGCGGTTGTGGAGTCTGCGGTGGCTGTGGTGTCGGCTGCAGTGTTTGGAGTCCTCAGGAAGCGCTAGGAGCATCCATCAACGGAGGGTACTCGGTCGGAGTACAGGGAGCTCCGTTACAGCCCCATTTCAGGCTGTGTGTCTAAGTCTGAGCGGGGACTACTCCCTCCGGAGTACCCAGCGCCATCTTGAAGGCCCGGTTCAATTTGCTGTGAAGCCGGCGTTTTTTGGGGGGCAAAAAAGTTCATCTTGTCGCCCTTGTCGGTGTGCCTCCTTGTCTTGGAGTGTGGCATGACGGCTTGTGTGGCTATCGGTCCCAGCTGTGTGCCGGATTGGGTCGGATTGCCTAGCTCGTGGTGCGGAGCTCAGAGCTCAAGAGGCCCCCAATGTTTACATTTTGCTGCAAAAAAACATCTAATAGTTACCAACCAGACTACCACTAGAGATGCTTCTGGTTAATGCTTGAAGCAGTGGAGTGACAGATCTTTACAATTACCATGCATGTCCTATAATAAGCAGCTCAATGAACAGAGATTTTGATAATCAACAATCTTACAGGTCTCACAGTAGCTGGATCTGACTTATGTGAGCAGTCGGTCTCAGCACTGGATTACAGGTAAAATGTCATGGCTTTTTAAATCTTTTTTTCTATATATAGATATATGTATATATGTATATATATATATATATGAGGGACCATGGTGTAGCCCTCAGTTAAACGTTAAATGTTGCATGTATAACAACAACCCGTTTCAGATGCCCCTCACACTGACACAAGACCTAAGGCCAAACAAGGCTGAGACCGGAAAGATCCCAGGTATGCTGGCTCCATTTTTAACAACCTCCCCCACCCCCCAGCTCCCTTGATGTAAATTCATACTATGTATATTATCTTGCAGCTGTTTATTTTTCACATTGGGTTGTGCATCAGATTACGCTAATCACTGGTAGCACTCACCGTTCCATCACAACTAGTTCTTGCGCCTCTGTTAGGCATACTCTGCAGTGCACAAGATAGGACCTAAGAGCCAACTTTACACTAGCCTGTTTTTGCACTTATTTACGTTTTATCTCATTAATAAAAAGTGCCGTTATCTCAAATGACATGACAAAGTCTGATGGTATAATGCTTATTACCGCTAATGTGGCCGTACAGGCTTGATTGTAATTTTATGCACGACAAAAATAAAGATTTTTTTTAAAAAGAGGGCCCTTAACTAAAAAAAGTAACACAGTGCTTAAAATATATTTATGAGATTAGAGTATTCTTTTAATAAAAATAAAGTACAATAAAAAGTACTGATGCAAGCCATATGAATGTGGATAGCTCAGTATTAAGAGTATGAGAGACCCCCATGGGCCACTATCAGTATTACTTCAGACGGTATATTTTTAACATTCTTTTAGTGCACAGTACGATTATAGTATGATTAATAAAATAGTTTGCACGGTATAATCAGATTCCTGTTTTTTTGTAAATATGTTTTTAGTATTTCTTTTGTGTTGTTCGTATGCATGAAAAAAGTTCTTTATAGTGACTCGCAGGTCATTTTGTATGGTAAAGCATATCTTGATATACAGAGACTCGCAGGTCTCGATGTGCCAATTAGCAATTACAGTCAGTCGGACACGCAGGTCCCGTTTCATACACATAGTTGTAACACAATCGAGTAACTGCAAAGAGTGGGCGAGGTTATTTACGTGTGTACCCCGTTCAGTTTTGTTAGTGTAGCCCAGTGTAATGGGGAGATAGCCCTCGTCTGGAGTTCTATGGACCCATCTTATGTGGGAGGGTTATTTCAAGGAGTGATACTTGTGAGGTGTACAGGGATGCGTGTTTAAGTCGCTGTCCCAGCAATTACCATTGAAAATAGACACCTGTGGAGGGCCGAGTACACAGCCACCATGCAGGTAATTAAGGGCTCCGGAGTCCGTGAGCCAATTTCAAAGCAACTTAGAAAGGATAACCATTTTTTGTTTTTTACATTTTATTTATTTATTTATTGTCAAAGGTATTGCCAATTTCCCGTTCACATGAGTGTGTAAAGGTTGGTGTGTCCAGGCCTCAGTCAGGTCAAATCCCTAGCCAGAAACCCCTCCCGCATCAGGGGCGCCCCCCATTGCTCCCTGGGGTTGGTTGTTCTATCAAATATTGAGCAGGAGTGTCGGGGTAGAAAGACCTCCTCTGTTCCCTCCCAGACGGGAAGCGAGCGTGGCCAACAAGCCGCGGTCCCCTAACCCACCCGGCACCCTGTCTC